CCCTTGCACAGCCTTGCCCGCATCCCCAGCTCCTCGGCAGGGTCAGTGAGATCCAGGAACCTCTAGCTGCTGACGCAGGGATGGCGGGAACATTGGCCCGCAGATCTAAGCCTGCTTCCCGGTTCTGTAACTTACCGGGAGTGGCCCGGGGCCAGCTGCGGGAGGCCGAGGCCTGGGCTCCGCCCGGCGAGCTGCAGCCAGGGTCGGACCGACCTGGGCCTGAGAGGATACTGTACACGAGCTGAGCCCGGCTCACAGGTTCCTCTGCCGGCGCCTGATGGCAAGCCCGTAGGCCGCAGGCAGTGGTTGGCCTCTGGGGTCCTAGAGCGCCCCTGGAGGTGCCTCGGTGCACCGGGCCGCTCTGGCCCGCAGACGGCGAGCATCCATGACGCACTTCCGGACCCCGCTACTGGTTCTGCTGCCGTGAAGGGCGGAGGCCCCTGGGTCTCGGCTGCTCTGTCCTCAGCCACCGCTGGGGTGAGCGGGGCTGAGCCGGAGGGTTGTGGGTGCTCAGAGCCCCCAGGCTTGCGGCGAGGTGACTGGGACATGGGCGCCCAGACCCCGAACCTCTCTTCCGCCCGCTGCTGTTGGTACGCCTAGCGGGCGGGGCCCGGGGAGCCCCACCCCGTGAGCCGTGAGCCTGCCTTCTACTCGCTGCGCTACTGGTATGGTCGTGTTGCATAGACTTGGGAGATTCAGGGCCTGAATGCCGCTTACGGTTTCCCCCTGCCTCCAAACAAAACAGACCGCCCTTATTTAAGCCCAGAGGGGGATCAAGGCAGGGATGCCTTCTCAGACAGGTAAGATTTAAGATAAACAGGATAGAAACTTTTTTTCTGGTTTTTTTCCCCTCTTATTACAGTTCTTTTGCTGAAATAAGAGCCTTTCTATCAGCTCCCGAGGCCCTGCCCTAACGCTCAAATGGTCTCTTAAAATAACCCAAAGAAAATTAGCTCAGTTTAAGGCCTCCTAAGGAAGGTGAAAGACCTTACTAAATAAAAGGAAGAATTTTGTTGCAAGCTAGTTCTAGCATCTGTCGTTCTGGGAAGCTAAATTCACTGGCAGAAATTTACTGCTGTCAGTGACCTGGCATCTGACTGTGGGACAGATGCCTTGTTACAGAAAAACACTTTGTAAGTACAGGTACACACAGATGCGAACTAGAGTTTTGTCCTGTGTGTTCCATCTGCACTGTGAAACCAAAACCATCATAACACTCAGCATGATTTTCTGACTTGGTGAGCCAGATAATAAAAAACATAGGTTGCAACCTAGTTCACATATACACTTGCCTGTGTGTTTACACAAACACACATACTCTGATATTTTCTATTTTGTTTCATTAGAACAAAAATAGTGTTCAGAATTCATCACTGATTTCATGCCCACTAATGGGTCACACACACGGAGAACTGCTCCCCTTCTGCAGCATGTCACCGGTGTGGCTGGGGCATGAACTCACTGGGCAAGCCGGCAGTGTAACAGGCTCTGCCTCTGGGTGGCTCCTCCACCTTGGCCAAGTCTTCCTTGATAAAGTGGGGTCCCAAGGCCAGATCCTGCCAATTTCACAGAGTACCTGGGAGGGCTGTTAGACTCTCAAATGTAATACAGACATAAGAAGATATGCTCTCTGGTTTTATTACACAAAGAAGGAGGAAAATCACTCTCAAAGTGTGCAAACTGATTATTCAAAGTTCAAAACCTTTACAGACTTCATCAGAGGCTGTATGTGAACTTGAGGTCACATTTGTGGGTAACTGTATTTAGAAAATGTCTTTCTGTCAGGAAGGTACCTGGATACCATTAGTCCTTAGAAATTGTCATTAGAAAGAGTGGTTGTTCTAAGAAGTCCCATGAGTCATAACCTCAACTTAGGGCCTCTTAGAAACTTTTTCTGTTTTTTTGGTTTTTTTTTCTCTGCCAGTTCTTTTGCTGAAATAAGAGCCTTTCCATCTGCTACTCCCACGGCCCTAACACTCTGTGGCCTTCTTTCTTTATCACAATGATGCCTGTGTCTTTGGTGTATTTTTGTACAGCTTCTCTCTGGTGGGAATTTCTCAGCTATTATGGTTTCTTCCAGTTCAGTACTTTTAGTACTTTTCAGATCTGGCACACGTAGAACACTCCACCCAGTAACAGAATACACTTGTTTTTTCAAGTGCCCATGGATCATTCACTAAGATAGACCATAATCTGAGCCACAAAACAGTCTTCTACAAATTTTTATTTATTTATTTATTTATTTTTTCAGCACCTTAAGGGATGAATTCAACAAATTTTTAAAAGTTGAAATTATATGGAGTGTGTCCTCTGACTGTAATATAATCAAACTAGAAATTAGTAATAGAATGACAATGGGAAAATCTCCAAACACATTTCTAAATAACCCATGGATCAAGGAGAAAGCCTCAAAGAAAAATTTAAAAATATACAACACTAATAGAAATAATGCAGCTATAGATGTTCTGAGAGGGAAACTTATATCAAAAGGTGTTTATGTTAGACATGAGGAAAGATTTCAGATTAATAACCTATAATCAATAATCTCTATAAAGTAGATAAAAAAGAGTAAAATAAACCCAAAGCAAGCAGAAAAAACAAAAATAAAGATAAAATAAAAAAATCAATGAAACTGAGAATAGAAAGACAACAAAAAAGCAATGAAACTAAATACTAGTTCGGCAGAAAAATCAATAAAACTGATAAACATCTAGAAAGATTAACAAAAATTAAAAGAGGGAAGACACAAACCACCAACATCAAGAATAAAATAAGGGATGTCACTACAACCACTAAAAATAAAAAGGAAATATCATGAATAACTTTCTGCTCATAAACTAAACAACTTAGAAGAAATGGAGTAGTTCCTTGGAAACTCCAAATGATAGAGACGTTAACCAAGATGAAATAGACCATCTGAATATCCCTGTAACCACTGAAGAAATTGAATGCATAAATTAAAAGTTTCTAGAAAATAAATTTCCAGATGGTTTCCCTGGAGAATTCCCCCAAACACTTAACGGCTTAACTTCAACTTTATAATTTCTTTCAGAATATAGAAGAGGAGGGAACATTTCCCAATTAATTTTATGAGGCCAGTATTTCCCTGACACCAAAACCAGAGAGACAGTACCAACAGGACGGGCTGAAACAAACAGCAGCAAAAACTGTAAACCAAAAAAATCTCATTAACTTAGATGCAAAGTTTCTCAACAACACATTAGCAAACTAAATCTAACCATGTTTACAAAGCATTGTACACACTGAGCAGGTGGGATAGAGTCTGGGTATGTGAGACTGAAGACTGGTTCAGCATTTGAACACCAACCAATGCAACCCAGCAGACCTACAAGTTAGAGAAGATCACATGATCGTATCAATTTACACAGAGAAAACATTTGACAAAATCCAGCAGCCATCCATAATTAAAACTCAGCAAGTCAGGGAGAGACAGTGATTGCTTCACATTCATAAAAGAGCGTCTACCAAACACTGCAGTTAGCTTCCTACTCAGTGGCAAAGGACTAGAAGCCATCCTCCTACAGTGGGGACGAGGTGACCCTGGCTGCACTCACCACTCTCACTGGCATGGTACTGGGAGTTCTACCCAGTAAAACATGGCCACAGGAGTAAATAAACAGTACACAGATTGGAAAGAAAGAAAATGATGATCTCTTTTTGCAAATGACATGATTGTCTACACAGAAATGCCTAAGGAATCAATTTTTTTTTAAAAAAAAAACTTCCTAGAACTAAGTGAGTTCAGCAAGGAGCCTGGCATGTAATAAGGCCCCCAGGTGTCAGCCTGTGGGGGTCAGGTGGTGGGGCAAAGGGGTTCACAAAGCAGCTGGTTGGGAATGGGCCAGGAAGTCTTCTAGGCAACCTGACTGTCCATCTGAGTCCCCACCCGTGGGTCTCCATCAGGGGACAGAGGGTGTGTCCTTCATTCTCAACTGTTTCCAGAACAGGCTGCTCCTCGCTCAGTTCCTGGGCCAGGTACACATCCTTTCTCTCACACTTTCCTAGGGCACAGCCCACTGTCCCCTCCTCCAGAAAGTGTACCTGGATGCCTTGCCCCAAACTCACACTCTGTTAGAGCACATTTGTGCCTAGAGTCTTGGCTATGTCTGTCTTTCCTTTTCACTAGACTGTGTGTCACGGTCCCCATGTCCCAGCACCACACCTAGAGCTTAGTGGGGCGCCAAGCTGCCCCCAAACCTTCAGACCACCTCTGGGGCTGTTCTTACCCACCCACAGTGGCACCACAAGTCACTGAGTCACTCCTCTCCTTTGCAGGGTACATGGATCTGAAATACCCACTCAGCCCTGATGAGAGGCAGGGAGTGCCAACGTCACTTCCCATCCCTTGGAACAAAAACTGCCTGGATCTCTACCTACTCCTTGCACCAAAATAAATAGCAGATAGTCATGATATTTAAGTTTCAAAATTCAAACTGTAAATATACAGAGGAGATTATGGGTTTTATTATCCATAATTTCAGGGTAGAGGAAGGCATTCTAAATACGAAAACAAGGGGAGAAACCAAAGGGAAAATCCTTTCAGTTAGGATGTAAACGTCCTGGGGCCACCCAATCAACCCCACAGAGTGAAAGCTGAAAGTACAATTGCAACATCTACAATGAGGGGTTACTGCTAGTGTCTGAAAGGTTCTCAGAAGTCAGGAAGGAAGGATCCACACCACACCTTAAGCACAGGCGAAGAGCAGAGAGACAGCAACCCAAAGAAGAAATCCTACTGGCCAATAACTAAATAAAAGGTGAACAGTGAGGGCCAGAGCCAGGTGAGGCTGTCCCTTCTAGACCCATGAGCAGTCCCCAGTCCCACCTGTGTGGCCCCCATGGGTGCTCCAGTCTACAGCCCCTATTCTGGTGTCTGGCGCTGTGACCCACAAAGTCTAGCTTGGTGTGACTCTGTCCTGTGCGGCTGTTCTTTGGGGCAGTAGTCGTGTATCTCCGTCCACCTTCTCTCCTACCTAAGTGCGTGCCACCACCCCATGGAAGATTCAATGGACATGGACAGGAGCCCCCTGAGGACCTGGAACTATCTTTTCGGTTGTGAACTAAAGGCCGACAAAGATTATCACTTTAAGGTGGATAATGATGAAAATGAGCTCTTTATCTTTAAGAATGGTCAGTTTAGGGGCTGGTGCAAAGGATGAATTGCACATTGTTGAAGCAGAGGCAATGAATTATGAAGGCAGTCCAATTAAAGTAACACTGGCAACTTTGAAAATGTCTGTACAGCCAACGGTTTCCCTTGGGGGCTTTGAAATAACACCACCGGTGGTCTTACGGTTGAAGTGTGGTTCAGGGCCTGTGCATATTAATGGGCAGCACTTAGTAGCTGTGGAAGAAGTTGCAGTCAGAAGATGAAGAGGAGGAGGATGTGAAACTCTTAAGTATATCTGGAAAGCGATCTGCCCCTGGAGGTGGTAGCAAGTTTCCACAGAAAAAAGTAAAATTTGCTGCTGATGAAGATGATGATAATGATGATGATGAATTTGATGATGAGGATACTGAAGAAAAAGCTCCAGTGAAGAAATCTGTACGAGATACTCCAGCCAAAAATGCACAGAAATCAAACCAGAATGGAAAAGACTCAAAACCATCAACACCAAGATCAAAGGGTCAAGAATCCTTCAAAAAACAGGAGAAAACTCCTAAAACACCAAAAGGACCTAGTTCTGTAGAAGACATTAAGGCAAAAATGCAAGCAAGTATAGAAAAGGGTGGTTCTCTTCCCAAAGTGGAAGCGAAGTTCATCAATTACGTGAAGAACTGTTTTGGATGACTGACCAGGAGGCTATTCAAGATCTCTGGCAGTGGAGGAAGTCTTTTTAAGAAAATAGTCTAAACAATTTGTTAAAATTTTCCATCTTGGCCGGGCGCGGTGGCTCAAGCCTGTAATCCTAGCACTCTGGGAGGCCGAGGTAGGCGGATTGCTCGAGGTCAGGAGTTCGAAACCAGCCTGAGCAAGAGCGAGACCCCATCTCTACTATAAATAGAAAGAAATTAATTGGCCAACTAATACATATAGAAAATATTAGCCGGGCATGGTGGCGCATGCCTGTAGTCCCAGCTACTCGGGAGGCTGAGGCAGAGGATCGCTTGAGCCCAGGAGTTTGAGGTTGCTGTGAGCTAGGCTGACGCCATGGCACTCACTCTAGCCTGGGCAACAGAGTGAGACTCTGTCTCAAAAAAAAAAAAATTTTTCCATCTTATTTCATTTCTGTAACAGTTGATATCTGGCTGTCCTTTCTATAATGCAGAGTGAGAACTTTCCCTACCGTGTTTGATAAATTTTGTCCAGGTTCCATTGCCAAGAATGTGTTGTCCAAAATGCCTGTTTGGTTTTTAAAGATAGAACTCCACCCTTCGCTTGGTTTTAAGTATGTATGGAATGTTATGATAGGACATAGTAGTAGCAGTGGTCAGATGTGGAAATGGTGGGGAGACAAAAATATACGTGCGAAATAAACCCAGTATTTTAATAAAGTAAAAAAAAAAAAAGCCTAGGTGGGCCCCCCCTTTCAGGACAAATCTCCCAGGCCTGGCTGGGCTTCCTGCCCTCGGCCTCCCCTTCGCCCAATCCAGAAATATAGCCCGGGAATTCTGAAGGGAGAAGGCCACGCTTGTCCCATAGATAAATCAAGGGGGAGAAGATCGAGTCAGACTCTGGACAGAGTTCCAGTTGGGGCCCTGCTGCCCCGCTCCAGGGTCCCTTTCCAATTTCCCTGACCTGCGGTTCTGGGTGACTGGAGCAGCCAGCATCCTGAGCACACCTCTGTCATTTGAAGAGGGCTTAATAAAGGGGCACTTTAGAAAGGTGTGGGCAGGAGCAGGGAAACCTCAAAGGATGGTGCAGCTCCCCATGGCAAGGAAAAGCAGGGACTCCTTCACTACCTCCCCTAGTCCTGAAGGGCATGGGAAGAGGAGACGGTTTCCAGAGACAGCTGTGTGGAGAGGACCCCTGACAGGAGCTGTCACCTGTGGTTCAGGCATGCAGCCAGCTCAGGTGACCCTGAGGGAGGGAGCTGGGAGACTAAGTACCCTAACATCTCTCCCCCTCACTCTACATCCTGCCAGGGCTCCCCACTGGCCAGACCTAACAGAAGCCAGAGGGTAAGGGAGTCCAGTGACAGCCATACAGGCCACCTCCCCAGACACACAGCAGGCTGGAGGAGGGTAGTGAGCAGATCTTGGGGACAAATGGCTGATGTCTTGCACAGGGGCTCTGCCTTCCTGTGCCTCGCTCACCCATGGGGGCCACACTCTTAGACCCCAAGCCAGGGCTAACCAAGCCCTGCAAAGTGTCCGAAGGCTTAGTTCCACCCCAACAGCTGTAAGTCAGCACTGGGTGCCCAGCATGGACCCTTCCCCAGCCGCCCTGTGCTGCTCAGGTGGCCTGAGCCTGAGTTTTCTGTGCTGTCCTTGTCCAGCATCTGTGCTGTGCAGAGTTTGCCTCTCACTTCATGCCCTTCTTCTCCCCTTCCCACCCCAGGCTCACCTGTCAGGTGGAAAACTGAGCCCCAGAGAGAAGATGGGACTGGCCAGTTCCTGCAGTGAGATGCCATCAGCACTGGCACTCTTATTTAGGACACTAAAATCTCAGTCTTGTGAGTCTCACTTGGTTTGGCTTGTCACCTGTGGCTTTTTTGTGCTCTCTCTCTCTCTCCCTCTCCCCCCCTCTCCCCCCCCCCCTCTCTCTCTCACACACACACACACACACACACACACCATTTCTGGGACCCAGGGCTAGCCTCTGGAATTAATTTAAGTTTGTAGCTTTGCTGATATATGAGATGTCACAGATGAGGAAAACGAGGCTCAGAAGGGATGTGCCCAGATTCAACAAGCTGAGTGCCAGGGTCTCCCGGGACTGGGTTCACTCCAGCACAACCTGCAGTCTGGGAGTAGCCAGGGCATGGGCTGGCGTGGGAGCACTGCAGGGGTGCAGCAGGAGGGCTGTGGCGCCAGGACCTGGACTAAGAGCCACTGCTGCGAGCAGCCCCACAGCTGGCCATCGTTGTAGAACCGAGGCTGAAGAGGAGGAACACAGCCAGTTTCCCCCAGTGAGGAGCGGAGGCCAGTGGCAGGAGACATTCTACTGGGCTTGGGCATGCGGAGGTGGCTGTGAGGAATTCCAGCAAAGAGAGGAGCCCAAGAAAACCCATGAGATAGTGATGCCAGGGCAACCAACCTGCGGGCCCGGGGAACGGAATGGGCGCTGGAGCTAGGAAGTGTGTGGGGTCAGTCTAAGAAGTTTGAATTTCTAGGTGGTGGAAGCTGTTGGAGGATTTTGAGCATGGGCATGACTGCCAGAGGATAGGTGGAATGTGTGAAATTACTGCTATGCAATGATTTTTGAGCCACAAAAGTGGCAGCATGATATGATTCCACATAATAGAAATTCTGGAAGATTCATTAAAGGTTGTGTACAGATTCATTCATTCATGACATCATTCATTGATTCACTCCTGCATTCACAAAATAGTTATTGGGTGCCCATTGTGACTAGAGGCTGCTGTTCCCAAATATGTGGCCAGGAAGGGCCCTGAGGCAGGAATGTGCTTCGTGGGCACCTTGAGGAACAGCGAGGAGGCAGCCAGCATAGCTGGAGTACAGTGGGGTTGGGGGAAGAGGAAGTCTCCGGTAGCCAGGAGCTGGACGGTGCAGCATCTGTTGGGCCAGGTCAGGAGATATGAGGAGATACGAGGATGGTGAGGTGATATGATGGTGCAGCATCTGTTGGGCCAGGTCAGGAGAGGGAGAGGAGATACTCTCTCCCTGGAGGGGAGAGAGTAAGAAGGTGACAGCATCCATATTTGGAGTTAGCACCGTCACTCTTGTCTTCTGGGAAGAGAATGAACTACAGAGGGACAAATGTGGGAGCCAGGTGTCTGGTTGGGTCTTGCAGGCAGGAGATGACAGTGATTGGACCTCAATACTGTCCGTGGAGAGCTGTTTTAGAAGCAGGCTGCCAGGATGAAGGGAAGCTGAAGACCCACAGGCCAGCAGGAAGGAGTCATCCTGACCTGGGCTTCTAGAGTAGTGGCCGTGGGACCAGAGGGAGAGAAGTAGAATGAGACCATGTCGGTCTGCGGCGAAGTCACTTCCCTCTGAGCTTTGGTTTCCTGCTATAGAAACAGATTTCCTGCTCCAGGCCACCTTTACAAGCAGCAAGTCTCACATTTAGGGTCATGGGCTCCTCACCAGTGCTCTGACCCCTGTGGGTTGCTTCTTTCTAGGAATGACCCGCTAACATGGACTGCCTCTTGGGGTGAGGACCAGGGCTGTGGTCTTTGGCCTCTGGAGCTTTGGCCCTCAAGTCCTGACTTTGACCAACAGGACCCACCACCTACTTTTGATGAGACTCCCAGAGCTCCACCCCACACTTCTACTTATATCTCATTGGCCAGAGCTTAGTCACATGTGGCTGCAGGAGATGCTGGGAAATGTAGTCTTTTAGTCAGAGCACTTGCAAGACCAGCTAAGGGTCTAGGACTGAGGAGGAAGGGCTCTCCAGGCCATGCAGAGACCTAAACGCTTGCCCTCAACCCCTGCCTCACCCTCCAGTCAGGTCCCTAGCTCTGCCTGTGCCTGGCGGCTCTGTCTTCCTGAGTGTTCTGGTTTTCCTGCATAGATCTGAGGAGCAGGCCATGGGCGTGCAGTGGGCAGGGCACCCTTGGGTGCTAGAAACTGACACCCAGTTCAAGGCGTGTCAGAAAAAGGGGACTTTATGGAGGCCTGAGGAACCGGGAATCCAGGGGATGTTCTGGACCAGAGGCAGTGTTGGCTTCCAGAAACCCCAGGGCACCTCTTAGGGCAGCTGGATGGCCACTGAAAGAAAGTTCAGGGAATACTTGAACTTGGAATACTTCCAGGTTCAAGTTCCCCCAGAAGGAGTCTTGACCTTTCCCCAGTGGCATGTGCAAAAGTCCTCAGGTTTACTCTGATTGAATCAGCTAATGGGGCTTGACTTTTTGTGGTGTGTCCGTCCCAAATCATCAGTTTCCAGCAACTGTGCCTTTGCTGGCCTGGCCTGGGAGCCCCATCCAGCCATCTCTCAGGAGAGAGGACTGGTCACATGATTCGGGCTGAACTTCAGGCCAGGTGTTCCCACCCCCTCTGTGCGAAGATGGGGACCCCTCTGAGACCTCCAGCCAAGGTCTCTGCCGGGCTTCTCAAACTTTAGTGTGTACATGAATCCCGTGGGGAGTGTGTGGAAATGCAGCTTCCGATTCCGTGTGTGGGGCTGCACGTCTGACCGGCGCTGTGCAATTGAAATATTGTATAATACAAGCCACACATGTAATATGACATTTCCTAGTTGCCACATCAAAAAGGTAAAAATTAGGCCAGGCGCGGTGGCTCACGCCTGTAATCCTAGCACTCTGGAAGACCAAGGCGGGCGGATTGCTCGAGGTCAGGAGTTCGAAACCAGCCTGAGCAAGAGCAAGACCCTGTCTCTACTATAAATAGAAAAAATTAATTGCCAACTATACATATAGAAATATTAGCCCGGGCATGGTGGCGCATGCCTGTAGTCCAGCTACTCGGGAGCTGAGGCAGAAGGATCGCTTGAGCCCAGGAGTTTGAGGTGCTGTGAGCTAGGCTGACGCCACAGCACTCACTCTAGCCTGGACAAAAAAGCGAGACTCTGTGTCAAAAAAATTAATAAGTTATTTTATTTAATCTAATTTATCCCAAATAGTATCATTTCAATATGTAATCAATATAAAATACTGAGACATTTTACATTTTTTCTGTAATAAATCTTTGAAATCTGGTTTTTGTTTTACACTTATAGCACATCACAGTTCAGACTAATGAAATTTCCAGCACTCATGTGGCCAGTGGCTCCCAATTTGGAGAG